GGCTACATGGACTATGGATACACTGCGTTTCAGGGTGATTCCTTGCACGGGGATGAATTACAACCATACCCTACGACGTTGCGCGAACAACAGCGCCAGCAGTCGATACAGCAACCCTTCGCCGCGTATGAATCGGAGATGGTATATAATCTCAGTCAGCAAGGTCCGACACAAAATCCGTACGAGGTCGTGCCACAGTACCCAGCACGGCAGTCTGCAGCGATTGACGCCCTCTCCAGCCAATTTGCCGTTCCACAGTACTTTCCAACTAATGAGCCGATGGCTACAGGGGTCCCTGCAGAGGTTTCGCCCTACCTGAACTCGCACCTCTCTTCATCTGCTTATAACCAGCCCGGTCCCATTGGGCGCTCGAGCGCAATGCAGCCCTTTCCCGCAACCATGGCCGAGTTTACCCCTGTGGGGACAACGGCGAGGCGTTTTGAGCAACCAGCAATCTCTCAGCAGCAGCATCATCATTCACAGCAACAACAGCAACAACAGCAACAACAGCAGCAACAACAGCTGCAGCTGCAGCAGCATGTAACTGCGGATTCGACAAACTGGAATGAGGAATATGGTCGGTTTCAACGAGCCTTGCGGTCGACGTTCGATCACATTCGCGCCGGCCGATTGGTAGAGGCTGGGCGATCACTCTTGGAAATTTCCGAGTGGCTTGTCACTAATGCGCGGGAACTCGGTATGTATCTTCCCTAGCGTTTCTTCGGATTCCCACTCATCACTTTATCCACCATCCTTCAAGGATCGTACCTTTTTTTGGTAACATTAAATACAATAATACGTGCACATTGGATACATCATTTGTTTTTCGATGATCGCACTCTTGGCACTCGCCGATGATACCCTCGAGCCTGCATAGCGGGCATATGAAGATCAATTTCATGATGAGGCGTTTTAGTTGCTGACCTTTAACCAATCCTAGGCATTTTGAGCGACGATCCGACGTTCAATTCTGATCGATTTACATTATGGAATGACTTCAACATCTGCTGGTTGGCTGCCTGCCAAAGACAGAAAGATATGACGCAGGAGGTGTTGCGGACCGGCCATCAACCATCTAACACCTCAATGCTCAGTAGCGATCGTTTGGACGATATGGGCAGAGAACTCATTCAGCTGTGCGATCAGATGGAGCAGCATGGGCTGGTGGACTATCAGATGGGCATTTGGGAGGAGGAGATACTCTGTGGTAAGAGCCCTACATTAGTCGAGAAATAATCCTTTTCAAGAAATTTGGCACAGCTATCTGATTCGGCGACTCATCGCATAGTCCTCGGAGAATGTATCGATCTGTTAGAAAGCCGACCAGATAATGTGCGCGCACATGGAGCGAGCGCCGCCGCAGCCACCACTTCGCGGTCCTGAGTGATGGTTCCCGTCGTGTCCGAGCTCGCTTTCTCCAATGGTGCGGTCGTACTCCGTACTTCTGTGGCTGCGCTCGCGTCTGGCCTAACGCACGCAGGAACTAATTTAGTTCTCAAGAACAAGTCCCACGAAATCCAAGCGGCCAATATCTATGGTCCATACCGCCGTGACGGACTACAGAGTACCACTGGATGGTCCTGTCGTCGCTTCTCAGGCCGCACTACGGAGCAATTTCGTTGAATCATGTGTCCATGACTGCACGTCTGTCTTTCTTTACGAGTAGGGCGGAGAAAGTAGGCCATTTCATTTCCAGGCTCCATTGTCCGCGGAGCATGAAGACCTGAACGGCCTCCCTCGCAGGGCTATCATAAGCCCTCCTGGGTGGGCATCTGCCATGAGAGGTCTTCCATCACCAATCACATCTCTGGCGCTCTTCCTGAGACATGAGAGTGATCCCGCATATTACCCAGTATCGTCTCATGTATCATTGGTGCCTCCTCAGGCAACATCCGATTTTGTATATATACCCCTCAAGCGTGAGACTCTCTTCGCATTTCCGGTGCAACCAGTGGGCGGGTCTTTGTGAGCGTATTCAGGATATATCACCACTGCCTTCTAGCGATAGAAATTCTTGGGTTTTTTTTCTCTGTCTGGTATACTATGTCACAATTTCAACAGAACGAACCAGTAGGGGCATGAACCGGCTGACGCAAACTGGGCCACAAATCTAAATTGATACAGCCGCCTATAGCGCCGTGTGACGCCAGTGCAAGACTAGCACGTCCCGGTTTTCAGGTTCGGATCCCGCAAGGCTATCACCACGATTGTGATTTGTGAGAGAGCACAACGAGGCGCGATCCGACTCCTTGGTCGCGGTCATCAGGCCGGACTCCGATCGTCCAAGATCCCCGACCTACATCTGGTAGACCAATCGCGGCGCTTCTTCTTTTTCTTCCAGGATTGCCAAGTAGCCTCGCTTTGTCTAATAATGTCAGAGTGACCACTGGCCTTGCTCAGCTCCGCTGGAGCAAAGATGTGGGGGCGTATGATCAGGACTAAAACATAACCAAGACGTGACCGAGACATCACCATGAAGTGGTGGTCTCGATCACTATCGACATGAATCCGCAGAAGGAGAGCATTACGGAGTACATTGAAGGCGCGCAATCTCTTAGACTTTTAGGAGACGTGCGATTGCCCTCACAATCCATGACTCCAATCATGATACGCAGAGTTTACGTCTAAATCAACACTTGGAAAATTCCATCAAACTCAAACCCAAGCCTTCTGAGAAAACCTGGAAATGGGATCGGAGGGAAGGAAAGGTCCGAAGAAAAGGTTTCTCTAAATGAAAACATGGTGATATCACTGCACTCGACTTATCACATTTCGACATCGGAGAATTCCATAGATCAGGTCCCATCACCAAGGATCGGGAGTTGCTCCCGGTTCCGCGGGACGCTAGTCTAGGCCATAACACTAACCGTATCCACGTTACGAAGCGGCTATCTAGATAGGTACTCGATGGACACTCTGCAGACTAGATCGGACTTGAAATTCCATGGGTGGATGGATGGTGATGAGCTGCAGCTGTATATAATTTATTATTCCTCTCATAGCTAGAGACCCGCAGCATGCTATTTTTTGGACCTTCTTGAATCGGAATATTGGTCGAATCACTGGCAGAGATAGACTCATTTGCATGCATATGTATTCCCAGCTGAGATGCGTAGCTAACCTCTATGGTGTGTATATATCAGAAATTCCGCTTGTTGTGTGGTGGTGTTACATTCTACATATTTTGTAGGTTAGCGAGGTCTATATTCTTGAAAGGCGTTGACATTCTTGGGTCCCTTGTTAGATCATTTACGTGGATAAGTAAAATGCCGAGCAAAATAAGGTACGGTAGCTTGCGTAATGAAGATATTGGTGATTTGATGGTATGCACCGCCCACCGCCTATACATACTCGCAATCTATATCATAGCCACACGCGTGAGGAATATATATATTGGATGGTCATGGACTGTATATGTGCATGTCGTCGTGTCTGTGGTTCCTTCAAGGATGCCAGGATGTAAACTACAGAGGTCATTGATCATCGATGATCGTGAAATTCATGTCAGAACCAAAGGGGCAGAAAAGACCGGCAAGCATTCGACCGCGGCAAGCAACAGATAAAAAGAACAACGCCAGATAGCAAGATTCGAATATACTCATGTGCAACGCTTAGATTTGGCCTGTCGAAACACAGTCGGTCAGTCTTGTCCTTTCCTTGGAACAACCGGCTAGAACATACTCAGTGTCATGCTCAAGCTGACATCGGTATTCTCCACCATCTCCGTAAACTCCTCGAAGCTGATCTTGCCGTCGCGGTCCTTATCCGCCTCCATGATCGTCTTGTCCACTATCTGCTGCAGCTGCACGTCCTTCAGGTTATTGCCCACCATCATCTTCAGCACGATGAACAGCTCGCCGTTGGAGATGTAGCCGTCCCGATCAATGTCGTAGACTTTGAACGCGAATCGGAGCTTCTCCTCTTTGTTGCCCTTGGAGCTGAAAGCCGACAGCCCGGATACGAACTCTTGGAAGTCGACATCGCCGCCTCCGTCTTCGTCGAAGATCGCAATCATTCTGTGTATCGGTAAGCATATCGCCGACGTCCTGGTTGTTCCTCCACGGCGCCACCATCTAGTGTCTGTTCCACGTACCTCGTTGCGAGCGGGTTGGAGGATACTTGGGGGAGGGAAAGGAACTCGTCACGATCGATGGTGCCGGAGCTATCCTGCGGCAGTTTTGAGCCATATTATTCAAATAATTCTTCACGTATTGATCGAACCTTGTCAAGTTTCATGAATCGCTTGCGGAGTCTGTCCACCTCATCTCTGTCGACTGTTGCTGATGATTAGATCGCGGTCCCAAGGATAAAGAGAAAGCCGCTGGTCAAGACTGACAGTTTGAAGCCGAGACAATGTTGTCTAATAACTGTGATGTCCCAACAGATGCTCTACGTCTGCGTGCATCAAACATAGCGGCGTTATTTGGTTCACTGCGTTGCTCCATGTTGGCTGTTGGTCGTGTGTGGTTGAGTGGGTATGCAAAAGTTGAGATGAAAGCGTGGGGAAATTATGAATAAAATAAACTATGGATGTGCAGTGGAGGCTAGTGGAAAGTGCTTATTAACCTGGTTGTGATAATCAACAGGAACAGCACAGCCAGTGGCGGATAACTTTGAGGAGTTGACGGCGAGTAGGAAAGGCTATTCAGCTACCCACTGGTTGCGGCTCCAGGATTCACGTAGCTCATAACATGCCAAGGACTTCACCCGTTCATCAATTTGATATCGGCCAGCCCCGCACTAGCCGGAAACGGAGAGGCAAGCGAACCCCTGAGGCCGTGCGCCAGCCTAAGACAGGCCACGTCTGGGTGACATTACAACGTCAACTCAACCGCCAGTGCTGATACTACGAGATTTCGGTCGTCAATATCTTCCACCATCCATCGATTTTCATCAAACAAATACGTCTACGCGCTTTCGCATGATCAGGCCTATCGATACATACTAATTTTGGGACCACTGTCCCATGGTCGTTGCCGCATTTGCGCCCCAAAGTTCGTATGACTAGATACGGGGGTATGGGGAGGACGCGCCCGAAAAAGCTCACCTCGAAGGCCTCAATCCCCATTGTCCGGGAACATGAGATCGATGTCATCGATGATGAGGTCCATAATGCCCTACAACAGGTGGAAACTGGTGTTGAGAAGGCTGAGGAGTCGGTCAGTGGTTTCCCCGACTAATTTTTAGCCATCCCTGCATGCATCACGTGATCATATCACAACCTCACCTTATAGTGAAAATTTTGTCAGCCGATATACTGGGCTCCAAACAGCGTTCGCTAACCCTGTTTTCAATAGGAATTCCATCTTCAAGCCGCTATCAGCGCGACTGCCCAAGGAAAAGTGAACGAAGCTCACATTCCCACCCCAGAGACCGTCCTCAGTAATCTTCGATATGATGAGCTCTATCCTCCCATCTTCTCGCAGCCGGCGACATACATCCGCTTCTCCTCGACTGTCGAGGACTGTTGCGGATGCCCGTATAACATGACCGAGGAGGATGACGTCTTCCTCAAGATCTTGAATGAGAAGCGGGAGCCGTCGAACCGGATCACAGAGGATCAATTCGAAGAGGTGATGTACTTCTTCGAGGAGACGGCACAGACAAAGCAACCATTTGCAGCTGTAGATAGCCCTCCTGTCCTGAGCTTCGCAGACATGCAAGACTCAACGGATGCAACTGTAGAGGAGAGCGTCAAGCGTTTTGCAAAGGACATATATGAGCACTGGAAGTTGCGACGGATCGCCACTGGGAACCGCCCACTCCTACCGAGTCTCAAGGTAAGCAGACCTCGTCGCATCGTTATCCATTTCCCACGACTGACCCTGAGCAGTTCGAAACTGGTCAAGAAACCGATGATACAGACCCGTATGTCTGCTTTCGTAGGCGTGAAGTCCGTCAGATTCGGAAGACCCGCGGCAGAGATGCCCAAAGTGCGGATAAACTGCGCAGGCTTAGAAAGGAGCTGGAAGATGCTCGACAGTTGGTTGCACTGGTGCGCCAGCGGGAGTTGGCAAGAAAAGAGATGCTCTCAATGGAACGGCAGATATTCCTGCAGCGTTCCGAGGTGAAGGAAATGAAGAGGAAACTCAACATCAAAGACGATGACGAGGACCTTATCAACCAGAAGGTAACTTCAATCCAAGCACGAGTTCCTCATGCGTCTGCTAATTTGTCGGAACAGCCAAAGAAGAAGCCTGCGGAGGCACCAGCTGCACAACGGCCTACCGCTCCTCAGGTCCGGATGCCACAGAAGCCCGGTACTCAGGCTGCGGACGACCTGCAGCTGCTCGAAGACGTCCAGGCGGAGAAAGAAAACGAGATTCTGCGGGATATCAAGCAGAACATTGCGAAGCATATCAAGTGGAACGAGGGCTATGTGGATTTCACAAGAGCGCCTCTCTCGCCACCTCCGGAGAAAACCTTCCAGGCAGCATTCCGTCCGGCAATCACCACCCAATTGCCAACTCCTCCTTCTTCAGATTCGTCCGACAATATGATGTTGGACTCTGCCTTAGATACCGCCAATTCCCTCTCCTTCCGAGATAAGCTAGTTCCTCGTACATGGGAGATGAATGAGGACACCAGCAGAATACCGTCGTTCAGGAGGCGCATTGGGCGCGGCGGTCGTTTGATGATCGATCGTCGGAACCTGGTGTCGCGGTGTAGAATCGAACTGGATCCGCTGAAGGCTGATCGATTCAAGTATGATCGGGAGGATTCGGACGATGAGTCAGAATTCGAATGTGATCCGTACGATGTCCAGATCATGCAACATCGTGCCATAATGGCTGCTAAAGCACGAGATCAAGCTGCTGCTGCCGCCCAAGCACATGCGCAGGCTCAAGCAGCTCAAGCGCAAGCACAGGCTCAAGCGCAGAAACGGTTGCAGGCCGAACAAACCACAACCAACAATGGGCCGCCGAACATGGGGCAGACAATGGGATCGAACCCCGGGCCTGGTGCCGTCGCCTCCACTTCGTGAGATATGAGCTGGGCTTTATTTCTTCTCTCTTCGTCTTCGTGTCTTGTTTTAATTCCCCCCACTCATATCTTGCATTTGGCGGGCGTTCCTCGATTCTTTTGTTCCCCTCTGCTTCGTCTTTCACCTCGAAATTCCTCTGTACTTGTACTTTTACCGTCCCTCCGATATCTTGACCTCACGAGCCGCCACCTTTTTAACCTTGACTCCGATGACTCCGATGACTCCGAACCAACTATTTCGTCCAAGGGACGATAGTTGTGGATAACCCCTGTTATCATGAAATGACCCTGAAATTATGCGGATGTTAGTGTACATAGCCTGTTCCCTTTCCTCTTGATTTTTTTTTTTTTTTTCGAAACCTATCAGCCGATAGACTCGTGTACGGATAGCGGAGCTTGATGTCAGCAACGAAGAAAATAACAAAAGGTTCCGATGAATGGTCCCTTCCATCAATGTAAGGCGTAGCGGTACGTATTTCGCAGATGTCAGTTCCTGGGAGCTTTTGTTCTCCTGGAATCTCCACTGTCGCCGTTGGCGCCTCGCTTGAGACCGGACCCCCCGTTGGACTGAGCGGACTTCGTGATGAATTCCTCAAGCATGTTGGCCAGAGTTTGCAAGATATATTTTTCACCCAGGCGAACCTGAATAGCCATCTTCTTTCGTCGACCGGATTGGTTCAGGGGCTGAGATGTTTCAGCCTGAACGAGCCGCGAAAGGACCTCCTCATCCTGGGCAATGGTTGTGGGGTATTGGCTGCCCACGAGCTGGATGGTCTTTAGCAGAATAGCAGCTTCAGCGTGGCCAAAGGACGGCTTTGGGGGTTTGCTCTTCGATTTCTGATGCTCTAATTGCTCCGGTGAGAGTGTGAGCGTCTTGAGCAACAAGAGAAGCTCATCCGGAAGGATGTCTGTCAGCGAGTTCTCGGGCGAGGGTCTGGGGACGACATATCCGTCATCGAGAAGTTCCAGATCTTCCAAAAACGCGAGCTAGGGTACAAGTCAATTATCGAGCCGCAGAAAACGTTGGAATCCCGGAAAACGGAGCAGGTGATAGGTACCGGAGGATGACTTTCAATGTCCGCACTTTGAAGACCGGCAGACCGGCAGATTTGGTCAAGCGACAGCTCGACCACATCGTACGGAGCATAGTTGTCGGTTACATAGCCGTAGCGCCTTAGAAGGTCGGCACGGGGTAATTCTCCATAGTCGTTGAAAATCTCGTCTCCAGCCTGAATGGGCTTGACGGCTTTCATAACCAAAGAATCCTCCTCTTGAAAGAGGCGTGCCTGCAGGATTGAGACATGAGTACTGATATGAAACACAAGGAGGCAGTCTGCGGGAAAGGGCACGCACATTATTTCGATCCGCATCCGCGTTGAGGATGTCTGCCAGTGGTACCATGCCTTTAGAAGACTGGTCCTGTTCATCATCGGTCACGTAACCGTCCTCTTCGTCATTGTCCTCATCGTCTTCATCCTCGACCTTCTCAATATCAAATGCATAGGCCATAATAAGGGACCCCATGATATGAGCTAAACCGAGAAGGGCCTGGGCACCCGCTTCACCGTCCCAGGAGGCTAGGCCCTCAACTGGCGGAAAGAGAGAAGGATTGGCCCTCACAACCGGTGCGATCATCTGCATGATTGAGTCTTCAGCACCCTCTTTCCCGATCTTGCTAACGATCGCACTGCCTTGCAGCTCCTGAAGTTCAGAATTGGACCAGAACATCAGTGTGTCAAAGCGCTTGGGAAGAACTTTAAAGTACGGCGCCCAAGCAGATTGCTCTCCTAAGAGATATTCGTACATCATCACCAGAATAAGGGACAGCCATGGGCCTAGTTCCTCCAGGTCGTGTGAGATCAGATCCTTCATCTTCGAATTCTGAGCCGACAGAACGAGTCCGCGAGGGATGGTGAAAAGCTCTTCGCCGTCGAAGATATCGGACCGAGCCACTGAATGTGTAAAGGTAATTGATCAGATAGAGGTACTTTGACAGCGGTGCTTCTTTCTGGAGGGAAAGAAAAATGATGAATCTAAACCCTTCGGATGGGTGGCCACATACCTACACCTCTCCCAGCAGATCTTGATCGTAGATCAGCGATACTGATTTTCGAATTGATTCTCACACCCGGCTTTCCAGCTAGCCATGTGATAAACTCATCTGACTGACGCTGGAAGCTGTCGGAATCAGGAAAGTGGGCTGAGGACGACATTCTTTTACTGATGAAGAATGTTTGTGACCTGTGTGGGTGGAGTAGTATGAACGGACCCCCACAAGATGAGATGCACACAGACGATTTCGACAAGGTAGAGGGGAGGTATCGAGAAGATAGAGAGAGAAAGCAATTTCAAGAAGACTCCAAGACAACGGAGGGATATCACAGGAGCAATCCACCGTTGTGGGAGGGGAAATGTATGGAGTGGGTTCTCAGTGCTAGTGAGCTGGTAGTTGAGTAGCATTTAGCTTACCTTTATTGTATACCCCCGTCGTCGGATAAACGCTACCACCGTGTCAAGCCGCCCGTCCGCCAATAGATAACGCCGCTGATCAAAAAGGGAAAAAAAAGTAACAGCGAATGAAAGCCGAGATTACCCCTCTGCAGACGAGTTCCCCGTAACGAATTAGCCAAGTTCTAATGGATGTGATTATTATTATCTATTGAAATTTGAATCTTAGAATTGGTCGATAATACGTTCATTCCAGTCATGATTGCCATCGGACTCGAAGGCTCTGCCAACAAACTTGGCGTGGGCATCATGCTCCATCCCGAAGATGGCAGCACCCCGCGGGTCCTTGCTAATATTCGTCACACCTATGTCTCCCCTCCAGGTGAGGGGTTTCTTCCCAAAGATACTGCACGGCACCATCGCTCTTGGGTAGTGAAGCTTGTAAAGAGAGCGCTCAGAGAAGCACGCATCTCAGTCCGTGATGTGGACTGCATCTGCTTTACCAAGGGCCCTGGCATGGGTGCTCCGCTTCAGAGCGTCGCTGTGGCTGCCCGGACGCTGAGTCTATTATGGGGCAAAGAACTAGTTGGTGTGAACCATTGCGTTGGACGTATGTGTGACCATAGACGCTGTCCGCGGTCTCATGCCTGAGACCTAAACATTCGACAGCCTCCCGACAATCCTACAAGAGAGCTAACAACTCGCTTAGATATTGAAATGGGCAGACTTATCACTGGCTCCACCAATCCTGTCGTTCTCTACGTCTCAGGGGGTAACACACAGGTGATTGCCTACAGTTCGCAAAGGTATCGGATCTTCGGCGAGACCCTCGATATCGCCGTGGGCAACTGCCTGGACAGATTCGCCCGGACATTGCACATCTCCAATGATCCCGCACCAGGGTACAACATCGAGCAACTAGCGAAGAAGGGCAAGCAGCTTGTTGATTTGCCGTACACAGTGAAGGGCATGGACTGCTCCTTTTCAGGAATTCTCGCAGCCATTGACGGATTGGCTGCATCCTACGGCTTGAACGGCGAAGAGAAAGAAGAGGAGGATGCGGGAGATAATTCTAAACCCACGCGCGCAGACCTATGCTTCTCGCTCCAGGAGACCGTGTTTTCCATGCTTGTTGAGATTACTGAGCGCGCTATGGCGCATGTGGGCTCCAAGGAAGTCCTCATAGTTGGCGGCGTCGGGTGCAATGAACGATTACAGGAGATGATGGGAATCATGGCTCGCGACCGCGGTGGTAGTGTCCATGCCACGGATGAGAGATTTTGTATTGACAATGGAATTATGATCGCGCAGGCAGGTTTGCTCGCGTACAAGACGGGTTTCCGGACTCCGTTGAAGGAGTCGACTTGTACGCAGCGTTTCCGAACAGACGACGTGTTTGTAAAATGGAGAGATTAATATGAGCACCAGTCATGATGAGGACATCACATACGATCACGCCTATAGACATTAAAATCTTTTGATCATTGACTTTGTAATATTGGGAGCCGCGATTAGGGACCTTTGTGTTTCGAGAGCTTGATATCTCTATCTCGTATGCAAAAGTCCTGCAGTTTCGCGATGCTAAGAAATGGAATGCTACATCGCTTAGAAATCTAGTCAATAATACGGGAATAGGAAGACCACCTGATGACCTGACGATGACCGCAACGCAAGCGTGCGGCCGGCCCATGAGGAAGAGATAAGGTACAGAAATGTGGGAAGGGGCAGCGGCAATTGATGATGTTGCATATCGACATTCATGCTATAATAACCAAGAAATGCGATGTAAACAGCGCGGTCATAAATGAAATTGTCCATCATATGTGATTGAATTGACAGTAGCCATGCGCCGTGAGGCATGTGAATTGATACGGCTCTTGCATATATGCATCTATCGGAGGAATTTATGACCATGAACAAGTCGACGAAGTGTGTTTCTCGTCGAAGCAGATCCTCTGAAGGAATCTGGGGGAGGCGAGTGGCGTAGCGAAGGGTCACTGACACCGAAAGTCTGCGGCCCCTGATCCAACCATTTCGTGCGCAAACACCCGCGGTGTCCCTGAGATTAGCTCACGCATGGTATGAGAGTGTACGCAAGCGCCTTTTACTAGGGGTTACTAGCCCGTGATGTGGCTGGTTGGCTTGTACAATATCGTTGTGACATACTGCGCGAGGCTGAGTACATACGCTGAAAAAGGGGGTGGAATTTGGCGGAGATCTTACCTTTCGTTTGTATCTGGTTGTCACACTGGTCGCCAGAACGCCATTTTTGATGCTGCTCGTGGCGAGATGATTGAGTACCGTATGATTGGGATAGTTGAGAACACTGCTGTCATCTTTCATCGGCGTCGTGCCGTTCAGGATCGATTTACCCAGGAAAAGCGGAAGACTTGGTGGCGTAGGAGTATCACCAATCACGTTGGCCGCTTGCTGGTATTCTGGACTGTCTTCGTCCTTGTCCAGATCCACAAGAAATTGGGGAATAATAGTCTGGAAGTCTCCCAAGGGGATCTCCTCTGGTTCTTCCTTGTCTGACTGATCTTCAACATCTGCTCCATTGCGGTCGTTCCCAATAATATTGGGAATAACCTGGGGAGGGTGAACGCCTGAAGGAACTGCGCTTTTGTTCGTTTTATCACTCCCCCTGCGCGATCGGTTGACGTCGTCCGCGCTGACCTCAATGTAGTTGACGAGATGATTCGTAAAGTCGACTGCAGTCGGCAGATTATCCGAAGCCCGCATCTCCCCATCTACAATAAACTTCAGATGGTGTGTACCAGGGCGGAGATTTAACGTTGTGGACATGACCCCTGGATTACTTTCGCTGTTCACGAATCATCGATTAGCACTCGTGCGATTCTCTTGTTGGACCAGACGGCGAGAAGTTGCATGCTGCATTGGGGGGCGGGAAAGAAGACGAGAATGGGCGAAGACCGAAAAATATGAAAGGACTTATTTGGCCCTTACGATGGTTTTGCAAGCCCATGCACAAAGAGGACAGATTGAGACGCAGCAGTAAGTGGAGGGTTACATACCTTCTGTGTAAACGATATTTCTTTTCCCAATTCACAAAGGTCCCGGTAACGTATACTTTTTCTCCGGGGCCATTCCATTCGATAAATGTTGGTACAGCCCTGCCTACACCGCTCGGTGTATATGGTTCGAGCTCGTCAAGCGTCTCCTCATCGTCAACGGCAGTGTTGCTGATGCCTGCATTGTCTTGACTTGCTTGTTCGCCCAATGGACGGTCGCCTGAGACAAAACCGATATGTGAGTCCTCTGGTCCGATGATCGGTGAACCTGAAGTAGCCGTCGCGTCGCCGATGGGTAGGGGCATCCGAGGCGGACGTTGAAGGTGGGTGGATGCACTATAATATGCGTTGAGAGGTGGGCCAGACGGTGCTACAGTCGGATCATGTCTGGCGGCAGAGCGAGAAACTGGTACCTGCACAGGATTTGACGGATCTGGTGAGGGGATGTCCCTGTAGTGAGGCTCTGCTTTCTTCGCATCATGTCGGTCCTGTCGCTCGGAATCACCTTTAGAAGAGTCTGTGATGTTGCGCGATTGAAGGCGCTGCTGAACTGGAGTTTGACGTGCTGTGGCCGAATGTCCTGTTGCTGTCTCAATAGACGCCGAGGGGTCGGCCGCAGCTGCCTTCGCTGCTCCGGATATCGCGTTGGTTGACGGCCGGCGATTCACCTTCTTATCGCCTGTAGGAACGGATAAATTTGATGAGGCTGAACTTGGCGGAGCATCTCCGGAAGGGCCTTTTGAAGGATTGTTGCCCATCTGGGGCGAAGGAGTCTGTGACGACCGGTGTGCACGGAGAATAAATGAGGGGGAGGGACAAGAAGTGACTACTGTATGTTAGGATGCCAGCATCAGCGCGCCAGCCTCCAGGGGCTGTACCGAGGGCCAAGCGCAAAGTGAATGAGCAATGATGCAAAATAAATGAGTTGAATGCGAATGAGATTCACRATAGGTGCTTCAGTTAGACATGTAGGCAATCGAATCGTACTACGATTCACTCTGTCAATGGATCATTGGTATCTCACAGCATTTGATGATGTCGACGTTGTTCCGGGGCTTGCCAAAAGCGTCCATTTAGGGTATAGGGTTCTATTCTCCAGCTTTGGGGGCGTCTTGTTATGGTAAGGTGTCAGTGCCGCTGTATGATAGGTAAGCAGACAAAATTGCTGAACTAAAATAGATTCGGGTTAGCGCCAAAGCACCATCCTGGGGCGGGGCCTTCGGCTCCACTCGATCTTCATCTACCGACATCATGCTCCATTCCTGCCAGTAGAACTCCCAAGTGCCTGTAACTTCATCTTTCGTGGTCAGGTCGGGATTGGGAAATCACAGTTGATAAACATCCATCCCCTCATTGAGTTCAAGAATTGGTCAGCCTACTCTTGCACCTCCGTTGTTCATCATATATACTAGAGGGATGCGACAGTAGTTCAAGTGTTGTATTTCAATGGCATGGACTTCGGCAGTCGCAACTTTGGTTTACTCTATCATATACCCCTTGACATTTTTGGCATATTGTGTGTATGGACTACTAAGCCTTTTGGTCACCCCGTTGTTGAAACTGGGGCTTGGTGTCTTGAAGCTTGTCCTCCTCCCTCTCAGGATTATTGCTAAATTTGAGGTATGACGTGTTGAAAACCCCCTTTACAATCCTCTTGAATCCATTTGTGTATTATAGTGATGACAGGCTGACATGTGTCGCAGGCCTTGCTGCTATTCTTCGCGACAGCTCTAATCATCGGGCTGATTCTCGGCACTGTAGTGCATTTGACCAGTGCATTTGTCATCGAGACACTTAACGAGTCATTGGGATTCTCTGAAAATCCACCAAGTCGTGGAAATTCAAAGAATCGGTTACGTCGTTCCGCCGACGTAGGCAGGAAGCTTCCACTTGCGGGAGGACCAAGATCATCTAGGGACATTCTTGCGGAATTGTCTGACACGAGAAAGGTCAAACGTCTCGGTGATACTGGAAGTTTACTCTCTTCCTCAATTCTAGAAGAGGAGGAATTCAGCCATGATTCTGCTTAGCAGGCTGAATGTTCCGCCAGGGCATGTGGAACTCGTTGTGTTAGCCCATAGAACCTTATGAAAAGATTACGATTGAAGACGAGGAAATGTCAAAACAAAACTCAACGCGGTACTGAAGTATTCTACGTGGCATCGATCTCAATGCCCATTCTGGACCCTGTCAACCGAGGCGATTCAGGGAGTCATCCTGGTTAACTGCAAGCAGGGGCCACAAGAGGGTCATATTGCACTGGTTTATGAATCATATGTACATTAGCCAGCATATAAAAAGAACTAACTGCCAGTACAAACGGATCCCAAAATCTAGCGCACAAAAGCAACAAGCGCAACGACTCGATTGTTGAAGGTTAGTACGCCGAAGGCCCATTTTCACCCAAGATGACCATAGCTGCGACGAGCCCGAGATACTTTCTTAGAATCAGACTTGACAATCCGAGTAGGACAATTTGTAGTCAGGCACTTAACATGAATCCCAACCTGTTCAACGCTAGTCACTTTCATGTTTCAGTTAGACAGTTAATGCTCAAGGGAAATAACAGTATACACCTGGCCGTTACAGGGGCAACAGCTGCGTCATGGTTTCGTTGGATGCTCTGACAATAATAGCCGCAGATACCTCGGATCTGGGGTCTGTCCCAAGGCAATCTGAAGCTGAATATGCTGGGACAGGTCTACCATCCACAGTTGAGACCATGTCAACTCCTCAAATGTCCCAGAATTGGGTGTCTCTTGCTGGCAATACGGTTATGTGAGCCTCGTAAAGCAGGACTTCTGCATGCGTTGATCGATTCGGAGGAGACTTCCCCGTTGTAGCCTCCCAGATATGGCAAGTCAGCGACGGAGAGAACTCTGCTTACCTGTTGCTTTTAAGTTATCGCGCAAAGAGTCCCGAGCTTGATCGGAAAGCGCAACACACAACGCCGTCGATATTCAGAGATCCCGACTCGCTTGTCGCGCTTATCCTCCTTGTGTGGCCACGGTACCGGGAGTATGGATCACAGCAACTAATACGCCTGCGTATATCGGATTCGCCTTGAGAAGTGATGTCATTACTTTTCGGGCTGTGGACGAAGAGCCTCGATGATGACAGCGGTCCCTTGGCCTGCTTTTCGAGATGACTGGTAGACTGTTGTGACTCTTGATGCACCTAGGCTAAGGGGTTATACCATGGAGAAGGTTGTCAATTGAATGAAATCGTGCTGACAAGATTATCGACTCAATCGCTGCAAGGAACTCTAATCTGTTGCGCTGGCATAACAGTAATCTGTCCGAAAGAGAGACGTTAGCGTGACTGCAAATATCTTGACAGAGGCAACAAGACAGACACTGAGTAGCAGTTTGTTGTAAACAAGCA